GTATTAAACTAATCTACTTCTGTGACTGTGCTTTTTCAGACTTAGTTTATTTATTTATTTATTTATTAATTCATCTAATAATATTTATTCCTTACGCATGCGCAAGTGAAATCTCAGGGCAAAAGCCAACCTCGGTCCCAGGGCCCTCTTCTACTCGTTCCCCTCAGCAAGAGAGGGAACACGTAGGACTCTTTATACTACCTTTGCTCGATTCTAGTGGAAAAGGAACTGAGCAATTGAATTTTGAGTTATATGAAATGAATGTTAATAAAGGCAACTTCAACTTTTTTTCCACAGGAAGTAATTAATTGGGGAAAAAACTGTGACAGTGCGCATAAGACACATAATTAACCCTGGCGTCGCTGAGACAGTTACACAGTTATTTGATTGACAGATCGGAACAATGTAACAAAGTCGATTTACGGCAGGTTCCAAAATAAGTGGCAGTGCCAGATACGTATTGACCGGTACAAATAAGAAGATAAAAACGGGTTGATCGAGGAAATATGAGATTACCCTCATCCATATTTGAAAATCTATATATCCTGATTACAATTCAAGTTTAACTAAGAAGATAGACACCAGTAGCGTAACATTGGATTTCGAAATCTACAGAACTCGTTAACTGCGAAGGGATGAAAATGTAGGAGTAACGAGTTGGCAGGAAGAACAAGACTGGTTATCAAACTTGTGGGACNACTGTGCTTTTTCAGACTTAGTTTATTTATTTATTTATTTATTAATTCATTTAATAATATTTATTCCTTACGCATGCGCAAGTGAAATCTCAGGGCAAAAGCCAACCTCGGTCCCAGGGCCCTCTTCTACTCGTTCCCCTCAGCAAGAGAGGGAACACGTAGGACTCTTTATACTACCTTTGCTCGATTCTAGTGGAAAAGGAACTGAGCAATTGAATTTTGAGTTATATGAAATGAATGTTAATAAAGGCAACTTCAACTTTTTTTCCACAGGAAGTAATTAATTGGGGAAAAAACTGTGACAGTGCGCATAAGACACATAATTAACCCTGGCGTCGCTGAGACAGTTACACAGTTATTTGATTGACAGATCGGAACAATGTAACAAAGTCGATTTACGGCAGGTTCCAAAATAAGTGGCAGTGCCAGATACGTATTGACCGGTACAAATAAGAAGATAAAAACGGGTTGATCGAGGAAATATGAGATTACCCTCATCCATATTTGAAAATCTATATATCCTGATTACAATTCAAGTTTAACTAAGAAGATAGACACCGACAGCGTAACATTGGATTTCGAAATCTAGAGAACTCGTTAACTGCGAAGGGACGAAAATGTAGGAGTAACGAGTTGGCAGGAAGAACAAGACTGGTTATCAAACTTGTGGGACAGTAACTGTGCTTCTGCAACTAGAGCCTCTCCGCAAAATATTATAGACCGATTAAATCGGTCCTTCTTAGAATGGGTTCTATTGTTTTCGCTTCATATTTATGGACATGCCTTGGCTATTTATCTTTTTACGCGACGTGTCAAGCCTTAGTAAACCAAAATGCATTGTAAGACACGACTTACATGACGGGTATGAATTTGACCGACGTTCAGATCACGTACCTGCGCTGTTATATTGTCCATTTTTTCCCTTTTTTGTTCTCCTCTTCCTGTCGACCACATTATTTAAACGCCTGAATCAGACTTAGAACACCTGAACCGATGACGTAGGAGAAAGTTTACGTGCCGGTCTAAAATCAAGAACCTCGGATGACATGAGAATTTGATATGAACTCAAGACTTGTCCCCAAGTTAAATAATTCTTGCTTCAAACTGGTAGGATAAATCATCTTATGCCTGCCTGTCCAACTCATGTTTGGAGTTATTTACATGTTTCCCTAATCTGAGTCTGATTCTGAATCATACGTGTCAATTCAGCGCTTGGACTGAATCACAGACTGTATCAGCGAATCAGAATTGAACTCAAGAGCGGTACTACCTAAGATAGGTCTCCATGCTAATTAATTGTTACATTAAACTGTTAGGAAAATCACCTCATACCTGTCCGACTCATTCTTGGAGTGTAAACCTGTTCCCTAATCTGAGTCCGATTCTGAGTCATACATGTCAGTTCAACACTTGGACTGAATCACAGACTGTATCAGAGAATCAGAGAATCAGATTTAACCTCAAGACCGGTACCACTTTAAATCGGTCTTCATGTTAATTAATTCTTGCTTCAAACTGGTAGGAATTTCATCTTATTCCTGCCTGTCTAAATCAAGTTTGGAGGTGTTAACATGGTTTCCCAATCTGAGTCTGATTCTAAGTCATACTTGTCAGTTTAGCGCTTGGACTGAATCAGAGCGGCTCGATATGACTTAAAACCGGTTCCATATTAACAGATTATCAAGCATTTGTCTTACTAGTCTCGTGAATTCAAGACCTGGAAAATTTTTACACTGGTCCTACCGAACTGTTACAAAGTGTCCATGGTCACCGCGTGGATGCACACTTTGAATGAGAATTCTATTGGCCTTAGTTTAATTACTTATTGAACATTTAAGGCGGCGAAAATTTTAACTCTATTCTTGTTCTATAGACGAAGGTATGCTTTGAGACAGAGACCTGAATGCCAACGAAAAACTCATCGAACTGTCATAATATCGCTGGACCTGAAGCGAAATAGTTGATAACAATCTAGCGAAGCCGCGACAGCTGATACTGGAGTTTGACATGAATACTGTAATCATCAATGTTACTTAAGACAAAACAGTGCAACTTAAAAACTAAAGCAACTACAATCATGTTTTTACCTTTCATAAGAATTAAATACTGCGTATAATGAATTTGCAATAATTATCATCCTACACTTACCAAAATGAAACTTAGAAGTGGCGATAATCTATCAAGGCCGAAGTGATTTCATTGTTTAAGAGATCCGCTACAAATTCCATTTTTGTTTTTGAGAATTCAGTCATGTTTTCAAAATCTACGAGATGTTGATGCCAATGCTGAGGAACATTAGCATCTTGATTATTTTTCTTGAACTTTGAAGTCAAACACTCTACTTGAATTTTAAAGATAAACTCTTTACCACCAGATGTTTGAGTCATGAAATTGTAAATATTTGACATTCGTTCATTTAAGCGTTTGATTGAATTCTTTTAGATATCCAGTCTGCTAATGTTAAATTATGTGCTTCAACTCACAGCGGGAAATTTGAAACAATACAAAGACTCTCAATTTTCAACTTATAACGACCTTGGCGAAAACTACCAAATCATATACGGAATTTTCATTTTCTCATATTGACTCGTGGGCGTCGTAAAATTCTTTTTACCAAGGAATCTATAACACAGTAATTGATAAAAAATGTGGTGTTTAGATTATCGCCACATCGTTGTTGATATGTATAATCTCTATGGGGAATCGATAAAATGTATTACTCATGCCGAATCCAAAAACGAATAGGAAGATTTATTTTACCATGATAGACATTTTCACTTTTTTAAATTGAAAAGTTAATTCTCGGCTTGCACGGTCACGCAATGAAAAATAAAAATGCAAACCATTCAATACAGAAGGACTAGAATCTGGGAAATGAAAAAAGATAAATAAACAAAAACCCCTGCCAAGAATCAGGTCTTTGAAATATTTCAAATGCGAGATATTGGGAAAACGGTTTACCTAAATTTATAAAGCTTTGTATGGAAACGCCATGTTGGTGTCCCTTTCAGGAACACCAATATGGCCGCCGGATACCAACAGAAACATCTGTTTTCGAGTTTTCCTACTAATGCTCGAATTCTTCGCTTGAGGAACTCATAAAGATTACAGTAATATTTATTCGGAGACAAGGAATGTTTAGATTGCAAAATCTCTCAAAATCGGTAATGTTTTTAACCCACATAAGAGCTTTCCCGGCCGCCAGCTAAATGCAGCGTCACGCAAAAGCCTGGAAATTCAAGCGTCCCCTCTTGCAAAACGAAGAACCCTTTTGAACCAAAAATTTGTTTATGTAAAGGTGCTTAGGTACTGTAATACCTCGTGAAAGTAGAAACTCAGAAGAATCGATAGTTTCTTAGTTTTATTTTTGGTGACGTCACGTGCAACCCAAGAATAAGGAGTTGCGAAGGAAAAGGAATATTAAAAAAACAAATCACTTTCCTACAAGTCATCTTTCACAATTCTGCGGCTATTGTAAAGCTATGGTTTCATGATTGCGAGCGGATTTAATTGAACAAAAACAGCCCGGGAAACGGCTCAACAAAACTGGCTCTAACGGTGAATATTTCATTTATATGTGATGGGTTGCTTGATACGATTTAGAGCGTAATGAGTTTTCAAATGTTTGTACGCTCAATATCGTCTATATTACAGCAGCTTAGACGTCAAACAGTAACGAGCGCTGTTATAGATACAAAGGAAAAGCGGTAACTCAAAATAAGCTGGGGTCTGTGAAGAACACTGGTCTCATCGACGAGAAACTATGATTTATCTACACACATTGCTTACTACATCAAAAGCATCAAATATATACTCACCACATTCATTACATTCACTAAAAAGTAGCTAAAATTCCTGAGCTCAGCCTTAAGTTTTTGTATCACAGGCAAAATTTAAAGGGCATTTATTTTTTCAACGAGAAAAAGTGGAAAAGTCAAAACGAAAAGAAAGTCGGAAGAAATTCGGGCTATTACTGGATTCGAACCCTCGACCTTTTCAATACCAGCAAAGCAGTCTACCAACTGAACTAACAAGTCAACTAAGAGCAAATCATTGAGTTGGTTTATCCTCTGTTACTTAGTTATTCTAGCTGTATGAAAAATCAGATTTTGAGCTATTCCTCTAGGGTGGACCAAAAAGTATATTTCATTGTGCGGAACGATATCACTTATTTGATTTTTTTTCAATTTTTCTGTCAGCGACTGGGATTTAGATGTCAAGGAATGCTATTTAGACTAGAAACTGTACAACATGTTGACCGGAATCGAAGACAATACTTCTCTTACTGACGTCAGCTCTCGTGACAAAACAACACCGAGTTCTCGGAGGCGAAAAAAGGTGGTGACGTTTGCAAGCATGGCAGAGTTAGCTGAAATACAAGCTCTCGCAGCATGCGAAACCGATTCACAGTGTTCAGAAAGCGGAAAAACACCTTCTCTCGACGAAACAACATTGCAAGCACTGCAAGATCCAAGACTATTCTTGAATATGCCATTAGAGGATTATGACGCCACATGTGGTAATGTGAGTACCGCTGTGCCTAAATACTGCAGCAGGTTATTAATTGAGTTCAGTCACAAGGCACTCAGACAGTCTGACATATCGTTTACCATTTCGCTTTGTTACCTTTCCCAAGCGCTTTTCCTGGAGGGTTAAACATTACATGGAAGGTTAAACATTACTTCCTGTGCTTGTTTTTACTTTTCAAAGAATTTATCAGAGACGATGTCTCATGGGTATATAGTCCAAAAAAACCTTTAACATGCTCCACAATCACTAAAAGAAGGTTCTTTCAAAACTTGCGCATTTTATATTAGCATATTCTAACTTCTGTGAAAAATTTGGCAGATTCGGTATAGGAAATTGAAGACAACGCCCGCAAAGTATGCTTGTGTCTCAGGTTTTGTTCATACTATACCCGATGGCATTTCGCGCGACACAATAAGCTATCCAATATAGTATGGATCACCTATCCAATATGTAACTCTCCACTTTTAAGATCGGCGCGGCGCAGCTTCGCTCCGTTACAGAAATCTCCCCGAAATCACTGTTACGAGTGAACAAAAGCTCTATCTGGTATGGTTTTCGTGCCGGCGCAAACACTATCCGATATAATGTGAATATAGCCCACTAAACTCAAACTACAAGGCAACATCAACGAAAAAAAGGCTATAAAAAGTTACAGTTTCGATCTGGGAAAAAACCGTTTTATTTTTTCCTTTCTGTTTTTCCACTCCTTTTCTTTTTTGTGTGTAATACCGTTGCTAGAACCCTTATGTAACATGTCTCTTTTTAGGTACCTGCCGATGACACTTTCCTCGTTTTACGACAGCATGGAACAAATTCTCTTGCACATCAAGTATTTCGGTTTAATAAAGCACGCTCGTTGTGGCTTTTTGGACCTCTACAACCTCTCCGACTGTGGGCCATAAGTTTGGTTACTAATCAGTATCCTTTTGTTAGTTGTATGAAAATAGAGGGTAAAATCTCCAAATCAGTGTTAGCTCTTTTATGAATGCTCAAGCACAATCATTTTTTATTAATTTTTTTCAAAAAAAAACCGGAAGCAGTGAGGACATGCAGTGAAACATTCGCTTTTAAGTGCTACACCAATTTCACCCAAATGCAAGAAAATTTCGATAAATCTTTATTTCGCTGTATGAGCAACAAAATTTTCGCCCAGTTCATCAATAAAAATCATTTGCCTTGGTTGTCAATGCCATTTTAGAAATCAATTCTATTATATCGCCGTCCTTAACCACAATGCTTTTTCAGATATTTTGAGCTGCTTGTGATTCTCGTCATTCTTATAAACTGCGTCTTTTTGGCTCTTAAACATCCTCCTGAGGAAATAGAGTAAGTCACTTTATTGTGAAATTTTCGTTTATAATGGGTTAATAAATAGTTTCAAAAACTGGCTTAGCAGTCACATCTGCTGAAAATAATACTCCCGAAAAAGGTCAGTTTCTATTTCTTTTGTGAAATACCGTTTAGCGTCGTCCGGAGTAAAATATCGCCACACCGCATCCCGCGTCCAAAAGCAAAAATTGCTGCAACTTGTAGAACTGGTGAGCGTTATGATGTAACGATTGTTCCCGACTAAGGGCACAAAACTCCTTTCAGAGGAGAAAGGCAGAAAAATCCATGAAGTGGTTAGCTCCAGAAGCACTACCTCCGGATAACTGTGTACCACTGCTCCTGTACTTTATAACGGGCCGCAAGAAACCTTTTCCATGCATATAAATAACATAAAGTGACTTTAAACGGAGAAGACAGAGCTTATTGATCTCTTCTATGCTTTGAATAATCCCTACCGTCAATTTAAAGACGGAGACGAAGAATTTTTTGCAGCATTTCTTCAGTGCTTGAAGTCCTATTTTCATTGTTTACCATTTTTTTTCAGATACGTCTTTACGTCAATTTATACAACAGAGATGCTCCTTAAGATTGTATCTCGTGGATTTGTCCTTCATTCGTACGCATACCTTAGAGATCCATGGAACTGGCTGGATTTCATCGTCGTTGCTTTAGCGTACGTAGACTTAACATGCCTTTAAACAAAATCTATCATAAAGACGACAACTCTGCTTTCTTAATGAATTTCTCTCTTCATAGATACATTACAATGGCTCCAAACATTGCAAACTTCACGGCCATTAGAACAGTTCGAGTTCTGCGAGCACTTAGGACTATATCTGTCATATCAGGTAAGTTTAACAAAGTTTAGTGTTTGTTACCGAACGGAAAAGCTTTCTGACAGACAGACTCGCTGACTGACCCACCTACAAAGAAACTTTTTAGCGGATGTGGGACCAGACTGTCTATAGAATGCCTCATTTTCAAATAAAACCACCATCAACAATTGAAAATCTAGGTCAAGCTTCTCAGCCTAAACAAAGAAAAAAAGCAAAGGCAGCAAAGCAAACGATTGTCGGGCTGCTGTTGCTTTTTAATTCATCTTGACTAAGTTATATTCTCTAGTTTATTGTTGAGTTTAAATTTTGCTCAACGTTTCTGAACCAAATGGGTGAAATAAACGGTAATCTACACGACCTGCTAAATTGATTCAAAGCGTTATACTTGAAGTTTATACACAGGCCTGACAAAACTCTCAGTTATAGACAGAACAGTGGTCTGTGAAATGAAAGAAAATTTTTTTTTGCAAACGTTCTTGCCTCTTAGGTCTCCGTGCGATGGTAAACACGTTACTACGATCTCTCAAGCTTCTGAGTGATGTGCTGGTTTTGTTTCTCTTCTTTCTTGTTGTCATGGCTCTCATTGGACTGCAGCTTTTTGTAGGAGAATTAAGGAGCAAGTGTGTGCTTAACGTACCCTCAAACTTGACTGTAGACTTAATGGAATACATTCGGAATGAAAGTAAGCACTTGATCATGTCAACACAGAGTGGTTTTCAGTTAGGTGTCATTACATTACGCTGCCATTCATAACAAACACACACAGTCAAATAAAACATTTTCCGAACGACAAGCTTGGTTAAACGCATGCAAACCAGTCACTTATAGGCTTCCTTTTTTTTGATTGGCTGAAAAAGTGGTGTAAAATTTTTAAGCCAGTCATAAAGCCTAGCAAGGCAACACCAAAACAGCGTCAAAATTACTCTCAACATTGACATAAAAATGTCCAGTTTATGTAAGACTGGTTATCAATTTTGGATTATCTTTCTCCAAATGGACAAATAGACTTAGCGGCAATGCATAATTAAGCTTAAGAAAACTAACTTCTCTTTTAAGGTGTTTGGTATTTGCGTCACGGTGAGGCAGTGATATGCGGTGCAAAAACATTTTCGCCCAGTTCATCAATGAAAAATCATTATCCTTGGTTGTCAATACCATTTTAGAGATCAATTTTATTATATCGTCGTCCTTAACCACAATGCTTTTTCAGATATTTTGAGCTGCTTGTGATTATCGTCATTCTTATAAATTGCTTCTTTTTGGCTCTTAAACATCCTCCTGAGGAAATAGAGTAAGTTGCTTTATTGTGAAATTTTCGTTTATAATGGGGTAATGAATAGTTTCAAAAACTGGTTTAGCGGTCACATCTGCTGGAAATAATACTCTGAAAAAGGTCAGTTTCTATTTCTTTTGTTTAGCGTCGTCCAGAGTAAAAGATCGCCACCGCACCCCGCGTCCTAAAGCAAAAATTGCTGCAATTGGACCGACAGAACGTAGACATTTCTAGAACTGGTGAGCGTTATGATGTAACGATTGTTCCCGACTAAGGTCACAAAATTTCATTTAGAGGAGAAAGGCAGAAAAATCCATGAAGTGGTTAGCTCCAGAAGTACCACCTCCATATAACTGTGTACCATTGCTCCTGTACTTTATAACGGGCCGCAAGAACATAAAGTGACTTTAAACGGAGAAGACTGAGCTTATTGATCTCTTCTATAATGCTTTGAACAATCCCTACCGTCAATTTTCAGACAGAGACAAGAATTTATTGCAGCAGTTCTTCAGTGCTTGAACTCCTATTTTCATCGTTTAGCTTTTTTTTTCAGATACGTATTTACGTCAATTTATACAACAGAGATGCTCCTTAAGATTGTGTCTCGTGGATTTGTCCTTCATTCGTACGCATACCTTAGAGATCCATGGAACTGGCTGGATTTTATCGTCGTTGCTTTAGCGTACGTAGACTTAACTTGCCTATAAACAAAATCTATGATAAAGACGACAACTTTTGATTACTTAATGAATTTCTCTCTTCAAAGATACATTACGATGGCTCCAAACATTGCAAACTTCACGGCCATTAGAACAGTTCGAGTTCTGCGAGCACTCAGGACTATATCTGTCATATCAGGTCAGTTTAACAAAGTTTAGTGTTTGTTACCTAACGAAAAAGCTTCCTGACAGACAGACTCACTGACTGACCCACCTACAAAGAAACTTTTTAGCGGATGCGTGTCCAGACTGTCTATAGAATGCCCCATTTTCAAACAAAACCACCATCAAAATGATAATCTAGGTCAAGCTGCTCAGCCTAAACAAAGAGAAAAGCAAAGGCAACAAAGTAAGCGATTATCGGATCGTTGTTGCTTTTTAATTCATCTTGACTAAGTTATATTGTCTAGTTTATTGTTGATTTAAAATTTTGTTGAAAACATACTCAACGTTTCTGAACCAAATGGGTAAAATAAACGGTAATCTACACGAGCTGCTAAATTGCTTCAAAGCGTTATACTTGAAGTTTATACACAGGCCTGACAAACTCTCACTTATAGATAGAACAGTGGTCTGTGAAATGAAAGAAAATTTTTTTCGCGAACGTTCTTTCCTCTTAGGTCTCCGTGCGATGGTAAACACGTTACTACGATCCCTCAAGCTTCTGAGTGATGTACTGGTTTTGTTTCTCTTCTTTCTTGTTGTCATGGCTCTCATTGGACTGCAGCTTTTTGTAGGAGAATTAAGGAACAAGTGTGTTCTTAACGTGCCCTCAAACCTGACTGTAGACTTAGAGGAATACATTCGGAATGAAAGTAAGCACTTGATCATGTCAACATTGAGTGGTTTTCAATTAGGTGTCATTAGATTACGCTGCCTTTCATAACAAACACACACCATCAAATAAAACATGCTCCGAGCAACAAGCTTGGTTAAACGCATACAAACTACTTACAGGCTTCCTTTCTTTTGATTGGCTGAAAAAGTTGTGCAAAATTTTTTAGCCGGTCATAAAGCTCACCAAGGCAACACCAAAGCAGCGTCATAATTACCCTCAACATTGAAATAAAAATGTCCAGTTTATGTAAGACTGGTTATCAATTTTGGATTATCTTTCACCAAATGGACAAATAGACTTAGCGGCAATGCATAATTAAGCTTAAGAAAACTAACTTCTCTTTTAAGGTGTTTGGTATTTGCGTCACGGTGAGGCAGTGATATGCGGAAACTCATCTTGGGCTGGGTGAGTTAAAAGTCTACTTAGAGAGATAAGTCGGTGTGATATCTTATCTCTGATCAAGATTATTATGTAGTAAATATGCTAGCAATAACCATAGGTTACGGACTGCGGGCGACAACGATCGAAGGTCAAAACGCTTTTGCTCTATCGCTGTGCTTTGCGTAAGTTTCACGTGAGAGATAGTCAAAACACGCGTGATCAGATTACTAGTGATAGAAGGTCCAAACGCGCGGGATCAAATTGCGTTCTATGCATTCCATTCATTCTTAGTGGAAGTCCAAACGAATGCTAGCTACATACATGCGACGCATGCGTAATAACAACCTGAATATTAGGATTGCGGGCTCCTCTTGTCGCCCGCAATATCTGTATGTAGCCAAGCTAAGCAAATCCTTCACTGCATTAGTTGAATCATTTCTCTCTCTGCATAAAATCTCGTCACACAAGGTTATAAGAGAGAACCTCTTTGTACACCTCAATGCGATAAATGTTAATTATTTCTTCAGGTCTTGTCCAGCTAATTACACCTGTATGGCTAACGCTGGACCCAACCCCGATCATGGCTTCACCAGCTTTGATAACATTGGATGGGCTTTGTTGATGGCCTTCCAAATTCTCACTATGGATTACTGGGAAAACCTTTACAACAAGGTAACCAAACAGGCTCTAACTAGATGTATGTATTTTTCTATCACATGAATAGTAATGACCTAAACAATTTCGGCAATAAGCAGGTCATGGGTTAGTTTTATGAAACAGTGATCGTCGATTTCTGTAGATTGATTAAACGGAATGTATGTCTGTCTTTCATTACTGGCTTTAAAAAATTTTTCAGCGGACCAGTGTTACTTTTAGCGCACTCACTTTTGGTTATTAATACCAAGGTTGTGATGTTATATATTAAACCAGTGTACAGCGCTTTTCGCCGATTTCTTATCCTTTAAAACTAAAACTATAATTTTTGGCCAGCTGCTTTACTGGCTTAGTGCTAAAACAATCACTAACTCACTTTATCAATCCTCCACTTCAGTTCTGGAATAAATGCTCGCTGTCTAATTCATTAACCACAGGTAGTCAAGGCGCTTGGAGTGTGGTATGTATTCTACTTTGTCATTACCATTTTCTTCTGCTCCTTCTACCTCCTCAATCTTGTCCTAGCTGTGGTATATATGTCCTACGAAAAAGAAATGGAATCAATTGAACAGGAGGTTAGTCAACGACGGCCGAAGTCGTTTTATTTGTTAATAAGGCTAATAAGCAAGCACTAAACAGACCATTGAAAGAGTAAAAATGGTGATTTTTTTTTATTTAAACATATTTTTTTTGCTGGCGAAGTTTATCCTAAGAGTAACAGAAACACACCGAGAGGGCTCACTTCGAAATACCATTGGATTACAATAAATAGTAATTGGTCAAAAGCAGCAGCAAAACAAAGAAAATATTTGAGGAATGCTAACAGGTGGAAAGTACATATTTATGTATTTTCATGAAATCTCTTTGATTGAGATATAACAGACTAGACACAAATATGCGTATATCACTCTTTCACTGTTGAATTTTGTCAATTTGCTACGACAAGGCTCATCAGTTACTTGTTCAGAACAGATGTTTAGATCATTCGTCAGAATTTTTTTTCCAAGTACGTAGAAATCGACGCCTTTACCTGACACCAGTTTTTAAAAGAATTGTTGTTGCGAGTGAATGTGTTTTTATGTGTTTTAACCAATCACAAAAATGGAAAAAAATGACGCCTACCCGAGTCGTTGTTTTTTATTTGACCAACCACGAAGATAACTAGAAGCTATTTCAAAGAGTTGAGGATTGTACATGTTAGAGTAATTTCAAGATATAGTACTTCCTCGCGTTTTAATCCTCCTCGGGAATGACCGATATTCTTATACTAAGAACTATTACTAACCTTCTCTGCCTTTGTGTTCCTTTACACAATACATTTGCGCTTTGCTTTCTTTTTCCAGGAGAGGCGAAAAGAGCTCATGAAGAAAACCGCTGCCTCATACACTGCAGACGCTGGCACCCTTAAGAATCTCAGACCTTTGAGGAAGCCCCGTAAGACAAAAGAAGCGATGGTTGAAGTAACACAAACTGCATGCATTGTTACTGACGTTCCTGATATTGAAAATGGACATAAACGTACTCAAAAAACGCTCGTTGAAAGAGTGTGTGAATGTTTTCGTTATGTGAACACAACATGCGAGACCTGTTTGAGCAGGATACCGTTCCTAAAGTCCCTTCGGAAACGCATGCGCACTGTAGCCGAATGTGCAGCTTTTGACGCGGTTATTATAGGAGTTATAATGCTGAACACCATAGTGCTAGCACTTTATCATCATGGAATTGAAATGAAGTTCGAGAAAGTTCTGGATTTATGCAACATGGTATGAAGAATACTACTAAGTACTGCGTTAGCTGACCCACTTTTGTTTTATCCATAATAGGTCGGGGGCCGTGATAGAAAGTAGATGATAATTTAAAATAATACAAGTAGAAAAATCGAAGAATTAATATAAAGTACTAATTTAGCAGCTGCAGTGATCCACATATAGGGCTTGGTATTTGAGCAGAGGGGAAAAAACTCTCGGAGCCAGGAGCCAGGAAGAGAATCAGCAACAAATCAACCAACGTATAGCCGTTATGGCATCGCCGACCTTGAGATTCGATCCCGGTCCACACTGGTGGGAAACCGATTCCCTCACCACTGTCTTGCTATTGTTCCCAGCATTTGCATACGTAGACTATTTTTATATGAACCCGGTGGGATTATATCACATAACCCCTACAACAATTGTCTAAAAGGCTCGGTGCTGGAAAAAGGAAGGAACACTGAGTGCCAGTGGACAGCTAGCTATAATGCGGAGTGAGACCGATTGGGAGGTTATGTATTCATATGCAAAGAGAATAGGTCATATATCTACATATTAATGTAAACCCCCTGGATTTTAATTTGTTATCTATGAATAAGTTTTTGTTCAAGTGTTGTTTAACACGACGCTATAACTCAGTAAATAGTTTTTAAAGAGCAAATTTAAACAATGTTAGCCATAATCTTAAGCCATGACTTCCTACGCAAACTTGCTTAGTCAGAGTAGAATGACGTCAGGAGTTTTACTAAAAATTCCAAACCTGCGTGTCGCTGTTATTTCTTGGTAAACTATTCCACTCTTTCGCCCAATCATCCTAAGCTCGTCTACTCCAGGACAGGTTGACTTCTTTGCATTTTGTGGCGTTCGTGCCTCATTTCCACTTGGAAAGTCGTTGTCTTTAACAGCAAAGATACCTCGCCAAAATGGTCCTTCTGTTAAAATATATCAAAAGATGTTGGAAATTGAAATTTCAGCTTCTGACTCGTTCTCTTCGAAGGCAAAAATTCTACGCTTCCCAATAGTTTTCTGAAGGTTTAGTTGTAATACCGCCGTAAAAACTACTTTTCGAAGTAAAACCTTGGACCTCGCAGTCTCAAGACGTTACTGTTCCTATCATGACTACAAACAACTAATTCGAAATGCAAATTCGAAAACAAACATGATTAAAAAGGTTGCAGTCAATGGTAATGCCACCAATGTCACTATGGAATGTTGAAAAACAAAAGAGGGTGAAAATTAGACGCATTTTTCCTCAATTTACTCTTGGATCCCTTGAGGAATCCTCTCCGATGTAAAAATAACCCGTTTATAGGTCCATCAGCCCCGGGATGCGAGATCAAGCATGGACTTATTCTGAAAAAGAGCTATGATCTAAATAGCTTTCTTTTAATGGTCACATGGCCAATTCCTCCATTAAAAGTAAACTTAGTTCAGTGTAGCACCTTTCCTCCACGCAGGTACATATTTCCAACCATTTTATCTGCCCTACATTTTGAAACCCCTTTTATGGTGTAGTTCAGTCTAAAAAAATAGAAAGCGAACAAAAGCTATCGGCTCGCCTTTCACCTTGGTGCGCATTACATTCTCCTTGCAATGCGCGACAGGGGACGAAGGTTTTAGACAGAATGACATATCCTACCACTTTTCGCCAGTTTACTAAGTTACTTAGGTGTAACAGTGGTATAGCAGAGTGATTTTGCTTTATCTGTCATTATAGCCTAGCAACTGTAATCTTTATACTAAGAATGAGTCGATTTAAATTTAGGGAGACAGCAAATCAAAAAATAAGATTATTAATTTTGAGTCTTTATCAATTCATGCTGTTTTAACTCGAGAATCCTCTTTTTAAACAACACCAAATTCCCGGCTGAGTAGTGTTACAGCTGTTTCACACGGTGCCAAAAGTTGTCTTTTGTCTAATATCACCCGTAGGTGTTCACGATAATATTTGTGGCAGAGATGATATGGAAAGTTATCGCCTTTGGACCAGTTGGTTACGTTAAGAGCAGGTGGAATATCCTAGACGCCTTTATTGTGATCGCAAGTGTTGCTGGGTATTTAACAGAGTCGGGTGGAAGCTTCAGTATCTTCCGTAGCTTGAGGCTGGTATGTCTTGCTTTGTAACAGTTTAAACGCGTTCAAATGCGCTGTGAAATGACTAAGATTACAGAGGGAGAGTGCCCTGGTCAAACATTGAACTTCTCATGTGAGGAAATATTCTCGTATCTAGATCTGACTACGAGGTTAGTGACAAGCCTGATCGCGGAGGTNAATTTACTCTTGGATCCCTTGAGGAATCCTCTCCGATGTAAAAATAACCCGTTTATAGGTCCATCAGCCCCGGGATGCGAGATCAAGCATGGACTTATTCTGAAAAAGAGCTATGATCTAAATAGCTTTCTTTTAATGGTCACATGGCCAATTCCTCCATTAAAAGTAAACTTAGTTCAGTGTAGCACCTTTCCTCCACGCAGGTACATATTTCCAACCATTTTATCTGCCCTACATTTTGAAACCCCTTTTATGGTGTAGTTCAGTCTAAAAAAATAGAAAGCGAACAAAAGCTATCGGCTCGCCTTTCACCTTGGTGCGCATTACATTCTCCTTGCAATGCGCGACAGGGGACGAAGGTTTTAGACAGAATGACATATCCTACCACTTTTCGCCAGTTTACTAAGTTACTTAGGTGTAACAGTGGTATAGCAGAGTGATTTTGCTTTATCTGTCATTATAGCCTAGCAACTGTAATCTTTATACTAAGAATGAGTCGATTTAAATTTAGGGAGACAGCAAATCAAAAAATAAGATTATTAATTTTGAGTCTTTATCAATTCATGCTGTTTTAACTCGAGAATCCTCTTTTTAAACAACACCAAATTCCCGGCTGAGTAGTGTTACAGCTGTTTCACACGGTGCCAAAAGTTGTCTTTTGTCTAATATCACCCGTAGGTGTTCACGATAATATTTGTGGCAGAGATGATATGGAAAGTTATCGCCTTTGGACCAGTTGGTTACGTAAAGAGCAGGTGGAATATCCTAGACGCCTTTATTGTGATCGCAAGTGTTGCTGGGTATTTAACAGAGTCGGGTGGAAGCTTCAGTATCTTCCGTAGCTTGAGGCTGGTATGTCTTGCTTTGTAACAGTTTAAACGCGTTCAAATGCGCTGTGAAATGACTAAGATTACAGAGGGAGAGTGCCCTGGTCAAACATTGAACTTCTCATGTGAGGAAATATTCTCGTATCTAGATCTGACTACGAGGTTAGTGACAAGCCTGATCGCGGAGGTCAGCTATTAGCCATTTATTCTCCTGTTCCCAGTTCCAGTTCCAGAAGTCTTTGCGAAAGCTTACTAGGCCTAGTTCCCTTCTTATTTCTAAAGCGGCGATTTAGGCAACACCAAGAAACGCTCTTATTTTCCTCCCCTTTTTTTCTTTTCAGTTTCGAGTTCTTAACCTCGCACAGTCCTGGAAAACAATGGCCAAACTAGTGACGGCCATAACGAAAAGCGTAGGACCTGTTGGAAACATTACTCTGATTCTTGGAGTCATTATATACATATTTGCTGTGGTAGGAATAAAGGTGTTTGGTGACGCTTACACGATAGATAAGTTTGGAACTGATGGAGTGCCACGCTGGAACTTCAATGACTTTTGGCACGCGTTTATGATGATGTTCAGAGTGCTGTGCGGGGAATGGATCGAGCCACTCTGGGATTGCATGAGAGCCACCAATCCTATGGCTATTTTGTTCTTTTTGCCCGCTTTTGTTATCGGAAATTTTATCGTAAGTATTACAGAGACATTAAACCTGTTATTCCAAAAACGTTCATTTATAAGACTGCATGGCTGTTTTCAAGTAAACAGGGTTTAAACAGGCTTAGTTTCTAGCAAGAAGGAACAAAAAAATTCAGCACACCCAAAACACTACCAAGCTCAGCGGTATGGGCAGTACATTACGCATGCGCACAAAGGACAGGCGCAGCCATCGACTACTGATCTCCCCCTGTTAGGAGCCGTCAGCATGACTAGCCTCATCTGTAGCCTGGTCCGAGGCGAATGGTTCTAACTTGTAATCACAGATCCCAAAGTTTGCTGTGATCTTATCAAGAGCACCAAAATTCAAAAGAGAGCAAAAGATGACCGCTACTTTGACTACTAGGAAATTTGCATGAGAGCTACATTGGAGCAAATAGTCTTTAAAATAAGCTTTCACTTCTACATCTAAACTAATAACCCCCGAAAGAGTCAAGCTAGTCCGACACCAATGATATCATAAATGGTCTGAAATCATTGAACAGAGAAGCAAATCGTCTGGAGGGAATAGTAATGTCCGTTGTCGTTTCACCTACCGGGATAATAGCCGGATAAACACCTACCGAGGGGATTAAAAACTCTGGAGACGCTCACATTTATGTTTCTCAATTCAGGTACTTAACCTTTTCATCGCCCTTCTGCTGAGCGCTTTTGACACCGAAGACGACGACAATAACGTAGACGAAGATGAAGGGAACAATTCGAGACTGAAGAAGCTTATAAAGAGGTTCACCAAGACCAAAAAGACACGCTTATTTGTGGCTACGTTTAAAGAACGATACAAACTGTATGAAGTGCAGCTGCTTGAGAGTAACCTGGCAGCCCAGGGGACCCCTCTGAGGAAACCTTACCGTGGGGGTTCAGTCAGAACATTCGGGAGCTTTCAGGAGGGTGTGTATGATTATAAAATATAAATGTCTGAATAGAGCGATTTCACATGACGTCACGTCCGCCTGGTGTTCCAAACCAATGAAAAGGTGGCCATGTTGGTGTTTTAAACCAGTCCCGTGGTTCTTTTGTTCCAATAAATTTTCATAGCTGGTGGCCAAGCGAGTAAAAGGCTCTATTTTTCATTTTTACGCTTTAGAAACAGTCGACCTTGTGCGATGAGGTATAATTGTTCTAATGATATAAATACATTTTTTACTAAGAATAAACAACACGAAACAATGGTCAATTTCAACTTCGTTCAGACGAGAAAGCGTCATGTAGAAAATTGCTACATAATATCTAAAGTATGCTAGCCGAATTTCTCATCCCAGTTTATTANATAAATTTTCATAGCTGGTGGCCAAGCGAGTAAAAGGCTCTATTTTTCATTTTTACGCTTTAGAAACAGTCGACCTTGTGCGATGAGGTATAATTGTTCTAATGATATAAATACATTTTTTACTAAGAATAAACAACACGAAACAATGGTCAATTTCAACTTCGTTCAGACGAGAAAGCGTCATGTAGAAAATTGCTACATAATATCTAAAGTATGCTAGCCGAATTTCTCATCCCAGTTTATTACGCACTCCTCTTAGGTCGAGGAGAAATAGTATCCACTGTTAGCCAGTCTCCCAAAGGAATTCCTCCGAAGTACATCGTTGAAGTAGACGACTGTTTGCCCGAGTGTTGTATGTTGCCTGTGTTCTCAAGGCAGCACTTTAAATGGCTAAAGTTCAGATGTAGCATTAGATGTCTTGTGGAACACAAGTACTTGGAGTGGTTCATTCTCTTCACAGTCATGTTCAGTAGCTTCGTTCTGGTAAGAAAAAAAATGAATCTTATTTTGCATTTCTTGCCTAGAAAGAAGGACCTGTGTATAGGAATTGCGGCAAATGAACTGATCACGAGTTTCCTTAGGGTGTTAGAATTGACAGGAACTGATATATTTTTTAAGAAAAGCAATGATTCAAATCATTATTATTTTTTAATTTTTAATCCAGTATTGTTTTCTCAAGGGGATTTACCATATTCCCATGAAAAGTTCATAAGAATTTAATTTGATGTAAGGTCAGTGGACTTCGCAAACATTTTTTTTGTTGAGAATTGTAACAGTTGAGCGTTCTTTCCATAGTCATTCACTAAAGAAAACGAAACGAGATTGTGTTGTCTTACCTTAACGAAGATATCATTTCAAAGGAATGACATGAAATATGTTCTGTTCCAAATGCTAAGCGGTATTGCTGGGCGGAAGGACTGCCAAAGCCTTTAGTGAGGCTTATTAAAGTCAGTCTGAGATTGATCCTTAACTCAAAGTCCTTTCTATACTCATCTTTCAGTGTTATCTCTCCGAGTTGAAAGATAAGCGTGCTTTGTTTGTTTTCCTAGGTGTTTGAAGACATCCACCTGCCCGAAAGACCACTGCTTGAAAAAGCTCTAGGGATTCTCAATTATTTCTTCGCTGCCGTTTTCTCGCTGGAATTTCTTCTTAAGGTCATCGGCTTTGGCGTTGTTAAGTACTTCTCTTCAGTATGGAATTGTTTGGACGCTTTCATTGTAGCGGTAAGCAACTGAATAACTGGAAAAATATGTTTGTCATATCACTGATCTGTTACAAGGAAATAGCTCTCGCGTAGCAAATCTTTATGTGCTTTTAGACCGTACCGGAAAATTGTCAATACATTAAATAGATTCTCTGTACAGGTAACTGGATCCTATGTTTTTCATTATTTCCTCAGATCTCGCTTGCTTGCTTGTCAGAGAACAAACAATTGTCGGTATTTCGATCTCTTCGGACGTTACGAGCCCTGCGACCTCTCCGTGCCATATCCCGGATGGAGGGAATGAAGGTACAGAACTGAAATTATCAGTAATGTATTTCTTTTGACTCGGTCGGTTGATCTTCTTGGAAGAAGCCCATTACATCGTAGCAAGTTTAGCAATCGCAGATGATATAGCAGAAGAGTATTCAACTGGTTGAATAAAAAAATTATAAAAGCGAGGACCAAGGACTCTAAAAGATCTACTCCCATAATACATGTCGCGGACATTTGTGCACACAGTGAATTTCGACCAGGGAAAAGATTTCTAAAAATAGACTGAAAGTTTTACATAATGTGACATTTATTGGTAGCAGATGGAGACTCCGATGTGATGGGCTCCGGACTAAATAAACCACTGTAATGATAACCCTAAACTTAGGTGAAAAATGTTTCTCAGATCAATTTTTAAACTCATTCACATCATTTTTCCACACTCAGGTTGTCATCAACGCGTTGTTCGCGGCCATTCCAGGCATCGGGAATGTCCTTGTTGTATCTCTACTGTTCTGGTTGATATTTAGCATTCTCGGTGTTCAACTGTTCTCTGGAAAATTTCAATCATGCGTCGATAACGATGGGGAAAGGTTACCAGCCAGCCTTGTTCCAAACAAAACAGAATGTCTTCGCTTTCCTGAGAAATACACTTGGAGGAATTCGGATGTAAATTTTGATAATGTTCTCAACGGCTTCCTCACGCTTTTCCAAGTGGTAAGTTATTTGTTTTACATACATGATCCATGCTGATCCATTCTTTTATAGGCTTGTGTCGAAAGAAAAGATCCTGAGCACCTAGTTATCATAAATATCCTCCTTTGTTACGTGGGTATCAGTATAGTTCACCGAAGAATTCAGACTTCGCCAACTTTAATGCCTGAAAACTGCACCTAGAGTATTATTATTATTATTATTATCCTTATTACTCTTTTGCTAACGCTCATTGATTAAGACATGATTACATTTATCAAGCACTGTGTAGAGTGAACTTTCTGGACTCAAACGAAAAAAGAACCAGTAAATTGATGTTCCCTAGCATTTCAATACTAAATTAACTTAACAGCGAGATTGGTCTTGGTTTTAGGCAACGTTTGAAGGGTGGATTGATATCATGCACATGGCAGTTGATTCAACTAAGGTAAACTCGTACACTTGTATTAGAAGAGAGTTATGTTTCTGAGTAAGTCTCACAGACACTGCCTGAACCGACACTAAGCGTCTGCCGCGTAAGAGACAGTAAAAAAGAAATGAACGGAAAGGAAAAGGAAATATCTTAGCCGTGGTGAAGAGGAACCAACTTAGCCTGCGAGCAAGCTCTCTTATTTGGGCAAGCGAAGCGAGCCTCGCGAGAACGCGCGAGCGAGGGGCCTTTTATTCTGCCCCTCGCGGCTTCGCCGCTCGCTCGCGCGTTCTCGGGAGGCTCGTTTCACTCGCCCAAATAGGAGAGCTTCCTCGCAGGCGAGAACCAACTCTACGAATATTTTGTAAAGAGGTGAAAAAACAGCCGACATTTCGCGACGCCACCACCGGTTTAATTTCCCAGCGAAATGACGTCTGGGCAGTGAAGCAAATTTTCCTCTCGCATTACCCAGTCACACGTCATCAGTATACTTCTAAAAGGGTTGTTTACGAAGAGAATGGAGATCGTTTGAATTACTTGGAAGAATAGAATTATGCATAGTGTAAATACATATCTCTTCTTTGTATCATTGAAACTTGAGCAAAGGGTTCGTTCTATGCATTTATTTCATCAGGTTGACCAGCAACCCGTCGACGACAACAACATGATCGCGTACATTTACTTTGTAGCTTTCATCATCCTCGGATCTTTCTTTGTTCTCAACCTGTTCGTTGGTGTTGTCATTGATAACTTTAACTCTCTAAAGAAAAAGGTAAAAACTCATACAGCTTGTTTGGGGAAGTTATAAAGTCGAAAGGATCTTTAAATTTTCCATGTTTTCTAATTTTTTTTTTAACCTTAAAACGGGTTGCAGTTAAGAGATCATATCTCCCGAAAGGGTTTCAGTTAGATTTCCGGATCAGGTTGGGAAAAAAATGGGAAGAAAGGAAGGGGGAGGGAAATTGTGTAAATTACATAGCGGCTCTGACGATGAAAATTGGCGAGCAAGATCGAGATAAATCCATCATGGCTGGTAAAAAGTTGTGATTGGCCAGTGTAATTATTTTGATTTTGATAATGAGTTACTCAATCGAAAAAAAAAAACGTTTATTACTAAATATTTCAGTATGAAGAAATAAGCAGTATGGGAATGCTTCTGACGGAATCACAAAGAAAGTGGGTCAATTTTTTAAAGGAAGCAGCTAAGAAGAAACCAGTATCAAAAGGAATAAGACCAAAGGTAGGGTATTAATGAAGTTATAGCGTTTAAGCAAAGGCGTTTTTGAGCGACGTACGTCTAACGGAAGTGAAGCCTTTTCCCCCATAGTATGCCTTGACGATGCCAAATTTGTATTGCTTAATGTCTTTACTCTTATAGAGACGATCTGGCCAAAAATGTGGGCAAAACTACTTTCCGAGAATACAAAAGTCCAATTCCGGTTGAGGTGCCTCACTCAAAAACTAAATCAGTACCGTCTATTTAACGGTCAGTGACCACAAAACAAGCGGCAACCTCGATGGGAGTAAATGAGAACGAGTCTCGACGCATTCTACCATATAAAACATGTTTCCCCTTTACCCCAAGGTAGGGGAGAGAATGGTCGTACCAAATGAACGCTTGGTCTAGAAATGACCGGAAAATTCTCGTAGAAAACGCTAATAAGATCCTAGAAGGCCAGAGACCCATTCGGGTTTACTTTGAAGACTTCAGGGAATTTGTAAAAGAAATATAATTTAAGTAAGTTTTTCATTTCTTACTCCGGATTTTCCGAGAAGATGACTCGTTTCCTTATTACCTGGAAATTTCATTTTTACTAATCTGAATCCAGATTTATCGTTTTCTATCTAAAAACTGCTTGCACCCACTTTGAGCTTATGGAACTAACAGCAATACTATAACTATATAATAAATATNGATTTTCCGAGAAGATGACTCGTTTCCTTATTACCTGGAAATTTCATTTTTACTAATCTGAATCCAGATTTATCGTTTTCTATCTAAAAACTGCTTGCACCCACTTTGAGCTTATGGAACTAACAGCAATACTATAACTATATAATAAATATAACAGCAGGATAATGGATACCTCCTTTCTTTTTCTAAAGGATCGATTTCGCAGTATGTTATACGATGTGGTAACAGGAGATAAGTTTGAAATGGTCATTCTTACAGTTATCATGTGCAACATGGTAATGATGACCATACAACACTATGGACAGTCTACTCAGGTCTCCGACGTTCTTCATATCCTTTCTCACCAATTACATAATGTTTAATTATGAACCGCGTATAGATCGTTTACAAAAGGTAACGGTGGCTCACCATTAGAACCAAAATGATCCGGATTGTCATCAATCCAAAACTAACCTTCCCTGGGGTAAACGCATTGAAGAACTCTGAAAAATCAAACCTGTCATTTTGTGCTACAAACGGCGTTACAACGTGATTGGATAAACCAAAGCTTTACCAAACAAACAACAGATGATCATCGACAAAAAATGGAATTTTTAACGTTTTTGATTAAATAAGAGGACAAGTGTTAACACATAAATATTTTCATTAGCTTCACAAGGTCTTCATTTATCGTTTGTAATGTTTTCGTTTATTTCTAACGAATGTCAAATGATTAGATTCCTTAACTTAAGCCTCGTATGGTTAACACGAATCTCAAACTGGGTGTTCACTGGGATATTTACTGCTGAAGCCATAGTTAAACTGATTGCTTTACGACAGCACTACTTCAAAAAGGCGTGGAATGTATTCGACTTTATCATAGTTGTGTCATCTTTGATTGGTAAGTAATGCTAATAATATTATTCATTTCTTCCACGAGAAAATAAACGAAGCTCTTTTTTAAGTATTTTAAGCTATTATGGGAAGTTTGACTCCCAAGCCCTCTTGTTTTCACAGGAGTAGTTCTTGACGAGATCAGTTCAAAGGATACAGTGGTCAATCCTAGTCTCCTGAGAGTTATGCGGATCTTTAGAATTGCCAGGTTACTAAGAGTCCTCGAATTTGCCAAAGGAATTCGCCAGTTACTTGTGGCATTGATGATCTCTCTACCAGCATTGTTCAACATTGGCACCCTGTTGTTTTTGGTCATTTTCATCTACGCTATCATTGGCATGTCAGCATTCGGTAGAGTAAAGAAAGAAGGAAACAACTTGGATGACATCGTCAATTTTGAAACCTTCGGCAATTCAATGATGCTGCTGTTTCGTCTGTCTACGGGTTCAGGCTGGAATGACGTCGTAAGTTCATTGTCTATTCAACCGCCGAATTGTGACCCAGGTTACCATGGATACCCGAAAGGTAACTGTGGCTCGCCATTTGGAGCGGCCGCTTATCTAATCAGCTACATTGTCATTGTGTTCATGATAATTGTCAACATGTACATCGCTGTTATTTTAGAAAACGTGAATCGCGCTCATGAGAATGACGATTTTGCCATCACTAAGGAAGACTTTGACGGTTACTACCGTAAATGGGCAGCGTTTGTGCCGAATGGGAAACAATTCATCCCTCTCGATCAACTGTCTGATTTTGTTGATGGACTGGAAAAACCGTTCAGGGTGTCCAAACCCAACGAAGCTCGCTTGAGGCAGTTGGACATCACGATACGTGCAGGGGAACTTATTCACTGTTTCGATCTTCTTAAGGCGCTGGTGCGATCCACTTTAGAAGAGCATGGAGAATCCCCGGATGTGTTTGAGGAGATTACAGTAAGAATGGAGGCAGAATTTACCAAGTCTATTGGACGAAAGCATTCCATTGCTATACTTGGCTCTACACAGACGAAATTCAAATGCGATGAGCCAAATGAAGTGGCATTGTAGAGAAGCGGGCTAGTGTAACACAGTACAGGAGAGCAAAAGCGGTTTAATTGTGTAACAAGAGTAGGAGAAATTGTGCTCGAGTAATCACAGCTCAGGCCTTTAATGCCCCGGAAACAAGCGTGCAGAGCAAATGGTGGTCATACGGGCTAAATCGTGACAAGGATCATAGTCAAATGTTCGCGGAAGAGCTGAGTTGATTGATAGTCATTGAAATAAGAAAAGACTGATTGAAGAACAACCGCTTTGAACTAAAGTAATTATATAAAGATCCATACAAACAATTTGAAGCTACTAAAATGCAACTATTTGAGAACTAACGTATAAATTATCAGACTTTAGTAGTAATTCAGGATAGAAACTAATGGGAGTTATTTCCTTCTTGAAATTCATTCGGCTAGGAAAAGACAGTTAAATTTAGATAGTTCTTTAAACATAGCCAACCGTCAACTAAGCAAAAACGAATATGTTTTGGATACGTTTATCTAAATTTATTGGTCACTACTTTGTTGAATTAGAAAGCAAAACTAAGAAACATATAATAACCGAAATCTGAAGTTGATTCAGTTGCCTCGATCCAGTTCTCTGTGTTTGGATATCATTTCAAACATTCACTTTCGTGTTTGTAGTAACATCTAACACGAGACGTATAGTGGCGTTTTTATTTGACATCCAGACATCGAAAAGTGGGTTGGAAAAACGCGGCTTTGAAACACCTACATCAAGGTGTCTAGATATTGCATGCAACGCTGATGGAGTTCTGGAAAAAGAATCCCCAGTTGACACTGAAGAAGTTCGCAAAACTTTTATGGTCTAATGAAAGATAGGATTTTCAAATACTCACGGTTCTTTTTTTCTTTTCATGGATTGGTAGTAAATGTGGTGAAAGTTACTGGAGTGCAGGTGAATCACAGTTCAATATTTGTTGTTCAAGAAATGCTGCAGCGCTCGAAATTAAACAATTCGCAACTTGCTGAATGAAATACAGGCCATCTTTACTTTTCGTTCACCAAAGCTCACCATGTTGAATGGCCTATTAACATACCATAATACACTGCTCATTTGTTCAACAAAAAAATTGCGACATGTTACCCAAAAAGCAACAAATTTTGAAACGTGACTCTGGTTGTTTTACGAAAAGAAAGATCGACTTGCATGGCTTTAAATACATGCATACTTTATTATTTCCACAATATCGAAATCAAAGAACTCTGAGTAAAGTTAATGCTGATACAAAATAAAACTAAGTAGAAAGTCTGGATGAGATTAACCTGATAGCTCAGAACGGGTAAAACTTGACAAATGTCAGTTGTGGAATTAGACGATTTTTATTTTAAAGCTTAGACCTGGAGTGTGCAAGGGTAAGTGGTTGATCCTGAGAAACGGGCTGGGATTTTAGTTGATAGCAGAAAAATCACTGGTGATGCGACGATAGAGACCTAGAGATTCCAGAACGAGAACGACTACCAGTGCGAGAGTTGACTTAAAGTTTGCTCGACGTGTTCTCAACAAAAAAGTAAACACCACGGAAAGCTTCATTGTAATTTTGATTCACCAGAAAAGTTATTACTGCTATCTTTATTGAAGGAGGTTAAGCTCTCTCCTGATCGCAAAATGATAACATTTCTAACATTTGATAACTTGTTTCCGCCACTACTACATTCTCCCTAAAACTCGTCGTAGAATGACGACGGCTACCACATTTTCCCGCCAAAATGACGCTTGTTCACGCGCTAGCACTACGTAGTATTGAGAAAAATCTCGTACTCATCTTAGAATCTGAAGGCCTCGAATAGATAACCGATGACTGAGGTATTGAGCACTCTCGTCCAGACTAAGTAAACACCTACTTTACACTATATACAAAACTTCTATCAAAACGTTAGTGCAGTCAAAACCCATATTTTCCTACTACAGATTGAAGGAAACATTGAAGGGAAGGCTAGGGTGAAAAACGAGACACGAGGTGTCGATAATTTCACCTATTCCCTTATAGCATTACTGTAGCCTACGTTCACAGTTGTAGTTCGACATTTTCTTTCGTTCCTGTTGCAGAGACATTGAATTCAACGCTGTACAGTCCGTGTAGTATGTAGTGGGTAACACTGCACTGATAACTACCTCTTAGCTAACACTGATACATTTCATTTCTCTTAAAAGCTCCTTCCTAAGTAAATCTTAGAAAAAGAATAATTTTTTTACAAACTGTTGAATTTACCGTGTTAAACTTCATTTTGAAGAAAAAGCTTATGTCAAAGTTCTCACTGGCGACCACCTTAGGTGTTAAGAAATAATATTAAGGGCCCGTTTACAACGTTTGGGGTGTACTTGACTGAGAGACACAGTTGGGTCTTAATATAACCTTAAATTGTTAAAGATCATAAGAAGGAATGGGTGTTATGATGCTACCAAGCTTCATTTGGCGTATACGTCTACGAAATAACATGAATCCATTCCAAGTTATGAGGATTATTAATACTTACGAATAAATTGAAGATTAATACTAAAGAATAAATTTTATTGTACAACGATATGTGGATAAATTAAACTGTCTTTCAGAGAAGGGGTACCCCTTTCGACGAGGAATGAATCAGCCAATCAGAGACTGGAAAACCAGCCCATTTGGGCGGGTTCTGTTTTCCACCAAAATGATATATGTTTTGGAAAATGGGGTAAGAAAGTTGTCTTGCTTAAGTCTTCTGCGCCAAAGGATTTTTTTCCGACGTAACAAAAACGTTTTCTTCAACATATAAAAACAAAAAGCCGTACGACGTGTTAAAAAAGTTTTAAAACATTGATAAAAAATAAAACCAAGAAAATGTAATGACGAAGAGTTTTCACTGGTGGTCACATCCATAGGGATTTCACCCAAACAAAGGTTTCGTTTTCGCAATGAAAGGTTTTACGTACACGGTATTCCTTTTTAAGGCATTACATAACTAAATCTGGGTAACGTTGCTAATGCATGCATTCAAATATTGGATAAAAAACGTGTGGGAGTTGTTTAGTATTTAAAAATTTTATCGGCAACGATCGGCATAAAATGTACAACAACACCCTGGATGGAAAATGGAAACTCTGAAACATAGTTACAAAAAACAGGCAACTTAAAAATCTTTTGTAAGTTAAAATATAAAGTACGAATCTAAAAGCTGTGAGAATCTGAGATTCTTACATGCAGCTCTTAGATTAATATATCTGGTAAAAATAGACTCGGGAGTTGTCGCTTTTTCTCTTTTTTCTCATTCATAGACGAGTGGACTATGTTGAGAAAATGATCTCCGGTGAAGAAAGGGAGGAGGAAAGCGAAGAAAGAAATTTCACTTCGTTTAACTATAGTCTTAACGTACAGTACTTTCCATTGCACATCAAATGTTCTCACGAAACGCAATATTCATTACGCTCGAGTGATCACCTATTTGCGGGGAATTCCAGAGAAAAAATGGGCAACTTGTAATCTTGGTGTCCATTCATGGCATTCAAGTGACCGTAGTCCGGAATATAAATATACGGAATTAACTCTATAAATCACTTGGAAAAGTATTTGATTTATGCAGCACTTAAGAGACTGCAAATATAAAAGTGCACTCTTCTACCGGAGTACGATCAATGGAAAGCACCATAGGTTATGACAGTTACACCATAGCCAGCATAGAAGCCGAGTAAGAAGAAGAAGAGTACGCGAGCGTCAAGCGCGAGGCGAGAACAAAAAAACTATATTTCCCTCTAACTTACCTCCCACGCTCGTTTCTCGCGAATCGTGCGCGAGTAGGTCTTCTGCTTCGCACTCTGTCAAACAACACTTGCTCTGCAGGCTAGTAAAACCCCTTTTTCACTTATCATGTAATAAATTATCAATATACTTCAAATTGTTTCTGAGCGACGAGCAAAAATGGGATCAAAATAACCATTAGAACTACCCGCCAGGTACATGTATCTCTTTGCAGTTATAAACATAGACGCTTTAAAAGAAAAATGCTAATGGAAAGGAACACTCTAAAATACTTTGGGCAGAATGCGGTAGGGCACCCGTCGACAGTATTCGTCCCAGCTTGCTCCGTACTTGCGGCGGTTACTTGCTTCATCCCTCAGTTCACGATGGACCAGCAAAATTGTCAAGTAAACCGGGTAGAAGAATGGAATCAGACTAGAAGAACCTGAGTAAAGAAGGAACCATATGAGAGATTGACACTTAGCCTGCTACACAGGCTAGTTGACACTTAACTAGCAGTATATCTGTTTATTTATTTCCCCATCACTGTTTTCGTTTTGGTAATTCAACAGGTACTTGCTATTCGCAAGGGCGTACATGTAACATATACTATTTTAAAAGATCGACTAAGACGTACCACAGGGTAAAGTCCAGGCAAATGCCATGATGATGTCACCTAGATAGTTGGGGTGCCGTACCACGCCCCACCAACCTGAGGCCAGAAGTCGTCGACCAGATGAAGTTAGGATGGTTTCTGCATCTGTAGGAAAATATCAAACTTATCAAGTCATTGAGAACCATAAAAAGGGCGTGATTATTCGAGAAGGGAGGGGGGGAGATGATTTTCAATAGTGCTCTCGGGGAGTTGTGGCTTCATTATGCCTTTGAAGTACAAAAAGTATAAATAACGCACAAGAACGAATATAGGAAAACAGTGAACCCAATCTATAGCTGTTGACCTTTGCTAAGATCTCTGCCATCATTTGAAAGACCTCCCAGATTTCTCCTTCCAACGCTTACTAAAACAGCACCTACTGATCAGACAATTTGAAAGTTGACTATATTCGTTCTTTTCTCTATGTACAGTGTGTGTGTTATTTATTTACTTATTTTGTTTTGTCTTTTCCTTTCTTTGCTATGTCACCGATGTTTTAAAATTATCATTTTATAGCTAGGCACTAGCATAAAAACGTTTGTTAATTGAGCTCCTAGACATCCTTGTTATCATAGTACATAATTTTCATTATGTTACAATTCCTTCTTTTATTTCCGTTAGCAAACAAAAATTAAAAAAATTTTATTTGGATGTAATAATAAAGGTTGTTGACTAGTAGCACAACTCTTGCAAATTATCTGCTGTAAATAATGTTTAGAACAACGCTTGTATCTTATACCGCCATGTTTGCACCTAAATGCAACAGTGAATTTATATTTGCATGTTTTTGGCTCACCTTGAAATTCCTCAGAGTCAGGGTCAGTTCTGAACCTGTCCTTTTGAGAGTTCGAGCCACGGAATATGGCATATCCAATAACTNTTCAATAGTGCTCTCGGGGAGTTGTGGCTTCATTATGCCTTTGAAGTACAAAAAGTATAAATAACGCACAAGAACGAATATAGGAAAACAGTGAACCCAATCTATAGCTGTTGACCTTTGCTAAGATCTCTGCCATCATTTGAAAGACCTCCCAGATTTCTCCTTCCAACGCTTACTAAAACAGCACCTACTGATCAGACAATTTGAAAGTTGACTATATTCGTTCTTTTCTCTATGTACAGTGTGTGTGTTATTTATTTACTTATTTTGTTTTGTCTTTTCCTTTCTTTGCTATGTCACCGATGTTTTAAAATTATCATTTTATAGCTAGGCACTAGCATAAAAACGTTTGTTAATTGAGCTCCTAGACATCCTTGTTATCATAGTACATAATTTTCATTATGTTACAATTCCTTCTTTTATTTCCGTTAGCAAACAAAAATTAAAAAAATTTTATTTGGATGTAATAATAAAGGTTGTTGACTAGTAGCACAACTCTTGCAAATTATCTGCTGTAAATAATGTTTAGAACAACGCTTGTATCTTATACCGCCATGTTTGCACCTAAATGCAACAGTGAATTTATATTTGCATGTTTTTGGCTCACCTTGAAATTCCTCAGAGTCAGGGTCAGTTCTGAACCTGTCCTTTTGAGAGTTCGAGCCACGGAATATGGCATATCCAATAACTACATGTATGGAGAAAAGAATTGGGAATGAGAATCTGATGTAAACTGAAGTTTTGGAAGGCCAAAATTCAAGACATTTTTGGGGAGACACACTTTATAAGTACAGAATTGTTACTAAAACGTATCAAAGTACCATCAGTGAAAAACATTTTGTTTCATATGCAAGGCTGTCATTAAGAGGCAGGGGCCAGGGATTTTCCTCGGCTACTATGAATGTGGGCCCCGGCTACTTTCAAAGGAAAATAGAAGAAAAATAGAATCAAAAGAAAGCCCTAGCTGTTTGAATCCCCACCTACTTGTTGTATTTATCAGGCAACTTGAAATCTTAGTGACAACCCTGCTCATATACATGTATACAAGATAGACAGGGCAGACATACCAAACAGAACTATGATTGCAGCTGTTGTTATCCAGTGAAGTTTATTTGTATTATCAACGAGATAGCGTGCCTGTAGGGAATAAAGGACAGGAACCCAAGATATGTCACCAAAAGCCAACATGAAGCCAAAGCCTTCCTCGATAATATCCATTGTGCTCAAGATGGAGGACTAAAACAAAAAAATGACAATCATAAAAACATCAATATCAAAACAAACATACAGTAAGATGTAGGTACAGTGTATCAAAACCTTGCACACTTAGTGTAAGAAGTAAATAGTCAATTTAAAAACTCATTCCCTCAGACTGAACCTTAAGTCTTTCCAGTTAAAGAGAAATAAATTCTTTGGCTTCTTGGCCTGTGATGTTCTGGATCATGACCCAACATTAACTTTAGAAACAATGTAACTGAACATTCCTATTTTTGCCATTGTTCCATTCCACATAAAAGCTCATGCAGCTGGAATTTTTTTCCACCATTAAAAATATCAAAAAGGCCCTCCCACGTGGCTCCATCATAATTATATGTACTGTGAACACCATGTTACTTTAGAATTTAACCATTTTTGCATATACTAACCTCATAAAACAAACAGTCAGCAACATAAATGAAATGAAAGATGCACACAAGGATCATTGCAGTAGATAATGCTCCAAATTTCTGGTATTCCTTGGCAGCCATACAGAAATTAATCATCACCTGTGGCGTATACGTCTACGAAATAACATGAATCCATTCCAAGTTATGAGGATTATTAATACTTACGAATAAATTGAAGATTAATACTAAAGAATAAATTTTATTGTACAACGATATGTGGATAAATTAAACTGTTTTTCAGAGAAAGGGTACCCCTTTCGACGAGGAACGAATCAGCCAATCAGAGACTGGAAAACCAGCGCATCTGGGCGGGTTCTGTTTTCCACCAAAATGATATATGTTTTGGAAAATGGGGTAAGAAAGTTGTCTTGCTTAAGTCTTCTGCACCAAAGGATTTTTTTCCGACGTAACAAAAACGTTTCCTTCAACATATAAAAACAAAAAGCCGTACGAAGTGTTAAAAAGGTTTTAAAACATTGATAAAAAATAAAACCAAGAAAATGTAACGACGAAGAGTTTTCACTGGTGGTCACATCCATAGGGATTTCACCCAAACGAAGGTTTCGTTTTCGCAATGAAAGGTTTTACGTACACGGTATTCCTATTTAAGGCATTACATAACTAAATCTGGGTAACGTTGCTAATGCATGCATTCAAATATTGGATTAAAAACGTGAGGGAGTTGTTTGGTATTTAAAAATTTTATCGGCAACGATCGGCATAAAATGTACAACACCCTGGATGGAAAATAGAAACTCTGAAACATAGTTACAAAAAACAGGCAACTTAAAAATCTTTTGTAAGTTAAAATATAAAGTACGAAATCTAAAAGCTGTGAGAATCTGAGATTCTTACAGCTTTTAGATTAATATATCTGGTAAAAATAGACTCGGGAGTTGTCGCTTTTTCTCTTTTTTCTCTTTCATAGACGAGTGGACTATGTTGAGAAAATGATCTCCGGTGAGGAAAGGGAGGGGGAAAGCAAAGGAAGAAATTTCATTTCGTTTAACTATAGTCTTAACGTACAGTACTTTCCATTGCACATCAAATGTTCTCACGAAACGCGATATTCATTACGCTCGAGTGATCACCTATTTGCGGGGAATTCCAGAGAAAAAATGGGCAACTTGTAATCTTGGTGTCCATTCATGGCATTCAAGTGACCGTAGTCCGGAATATAACTATACGGAATTAACTCTATAAAACACTTGGGAAGGCATTTTATTTATGTAGCACTTCAGAGACTAGAAATATAAAAGTGCATTCTTCTACCGGAGTACGATCAATGGAAAGCACCAGAGGTTATGACAGTTACACTATAGCCAGCATAGAAGCCGAGTAAAAAGAAGAAGAGTACGCGAACGTCAAGCGCGAGGCGAGAAGAAAAACTATCTTTCCCTCTAACTCGCGTTCCACGTTCGTCTCTCGCGAATCGTGCGCGAGTAGGTCTCCTGCTTCGCACTCTGTCAAACAACGCTTGCTCTGCAGGCTAGTAAAACCCCTTTTTTACTTATCATGTAATAAATTATCAATATACTTCAAAATTGTTTCTGAGCGACGAGCAAAAATGGGATCAAAATAACCATTAGAACTACCTGCCAGGTACATGTATCTCTCTGCAGTTATAAACATAGACGCTTTAAAAGAAAAATGCTAATGGAAAGGAACACTCTAGAATACTTTGGGCAGAATGCGGTAGGGCACGCGTCGACAGTATTCGTCCCAGCTTGCTCCGTACTTGCGGCGGTTACTTGCTTCATCCCTCAATTCACGATGGACCAGCAAAATTGTCAAGTAAACCGGGTAGAAGAATGGAATCAGACTAGAAGAACCTGAGTAAAGAAGGAACCATATGAGAGACACGCTCCTCTCACGTCTCCTTCTCGCGCGCCCGTTTTTTTTTGACACTTAACTAGCAGTATATCTGTTTATTTATTTCCCGATCATTGTTTTCGTTTTGGTAGTTCAACAGGTACTTGCTATTCGAAAGGGCGTACATGTAACATATACTATTTTAAAAGATCGACTAAGACGTACCACAGGGTAAAGTCCAGGCAAATGCCATGATGATGTCACCTAGATAGTTGGGGTGCCGCACCACGCCCCACCAACCTGAGGCCAGAAGTCGTCGACCAGATGAAGTTAAAATGGTTTCTGCATCTGTAGGAAAATATCAAAGTTATCAAGTCATTGAGAACCATATATGTACGTTTTTTTACAAAACAAAAGAAAAAGGGGGTGACTATTCGAGAAGGGAGGGAGGGGGGGGGGATGATTTTCAATAGTGCTCTCAGGGAGTTGTGGCCTCATTATGCCTTTGAAGTACAAAAAGTATAAATGATGCACAAGAACGAATATAGGAAAACAGTGAACCCAATCTATAGCTGTTGACCTTTCCTAAGATCTCTGCCATCATTTGAAAGACCTCCCAGATTTCTCCTTCCAACGCTTACTAAAACAGCATCTACTGATTATACAATTTGAAAGTTGACTATATTCGTTCTTTTCTCTATGTACAATGTGTGTGTTATTTATTTACTTATTTTGTTTTGTTTTTTTCTTTCTTTGCTATGTCACTGATGTTTTAAAATTATCATTTTATAGCTAGGCACTAGCATAAAAACGTTTGTTAATTGAGCTCCTAGACATCCTTGTTATCATAGTGCATAATTTTCATTATGTTACAATTCCTTCTTTTATTTCTATTAGCAAACAAAAATTAAAAAAATTTTATTTGGATGTAATAATAAAGGTTGTTGTTGACTAGTAGCACAACTCTTGCAAATTATCTGCTGTAAATAATGTTTACAACAACGCTTGTATCTTATACCGCCATGTCTGCACCTAAATGCAACAGTGAATTTATATTTGCATGTTTTTGGCTCACCTTGAAATTCCTCAGAGTCAGGGTCAGTTCTGAACCTGTCCTTTTGAGAGTTCGAGCCACGGAATATGGCATATCCAATAACTACATGTATGGACAAAAGAATTGGGAATGAGAATCTGATGTAAACTGAAGTTTTGGAAGGTCAAAATTCAAGACATTTTTGGGGAGACACACTTTATAAGTACAGAATTGTTACTAAAACATATCAAAGTACCATGAGTGAAAAACATTTTGTTTCATATGCAAGGCTGTCATTAAGAGGCGGGGGCCAGGGATTTTCCTCGGCTACTATGAATGTGGGCCCCGGCTACTTTCAAAGGAAAATAGAAGAAAAATAGAATCAAAAGAAAGCCCTAGCTGTTTGAATCCCCACCTACTTGTTGTATTTATCAGGCAACTTGAAATCTTAGTGACAACCCTGCTCATATACATGTATACAAGATAGACAGGGCAGACATACCAAACAGAACTATGATTGCAGCTGTTGTTATCCAGTGAAGTTTATTTGTATTATCAACGAGATAGCGTGCCTGTAGGGAATAAAGGACAGGAACCCAAGATATGTCACCAAAAGCCAACATGAAGCCAAAGCCTTCCTCGATAATATCCATTGTGCTCAAGATGGAGGACTAAAACAAAAAAATGACAATCATAAAAACATCAATATCAAAACAAACATACAGTAAGATGTAGGTACAGTGTATCAAAACCTTGCACACTTAGTGTAAGAAGTAAATAGTCAACTTAAAAACTCATTCCCTCAGACTGAACCTTAAGTCTTTCCAGTTCAAGAGAAATAAATTCTTTGGCTTCTTGGCCTGTGATGTTCTGGATCATGACCCAACATTCACTTTACAAACAATGTAACTGAACATTCCTATTTTTGCCATTGTTCCATTCCACATAAAAGCTCATGCAGCTGGAATTTTTTTCCTCCATTAAAAATATCAAAAAGGCACAGGCTCCTACGTGGCTCCATCATAATTATATGTACTGTGAACACCATGTTACTTTAGAATTTAACCATTTTTTCAATACTAACCTCATAAAACAAACAGTCAGCAACATAAATGAAATGAAAGATGCACACAAGGATCATTGCAGTAGATAATGCTCCAAATTTCTGGTATTCCTTGGCAGCCATACAGAAATTAATCATCACCTGAGGACAGAAAGATTAACCCGGATTTCAAATCATGTACTTGAAAACTTACATTCAGAACTGTTATACACATCACTTTTAATCCTATTTAAGGAGGCAGCCAAGCTGAGTTGTACACGAAATGTGCACCAGACTTGTAATTGAAAACTAATGGGGCGCAGTTGTTCAAATACTGGATAGCGCTAGTTAACCTGCAGCTGAGTATTATGGAAACCAACTGCATTATAGCTATATCCACCTTCTGAACAATTGGGGCCAGTAGTTTCTTGGTGGCCCTGAGATCTACTCTCAACATCATGGAGTACCAATAAAATAGATCACGCATTTGGCATACAGTCTCTTGTTCACATAAAGGTTGTACATACAGATCACAAACTGATACGTGAAATAATAAGTCTTGCCTACCCAGCCAATAAGTCCAGGCCTGACTTCAAAGAAAAATTTGAAATCAAACTTTCCCCACCGTGGATTGAGCTGATGACCCATGAAAAAGTCATAAACAACATTTCCTGTTGAGAGAAAGTTAAATCAAAAAAGGTCATCATTACTGCAACATGTCCACTCTTACAATGTAGACTACAATGTTGATGCAACCAACAGTAAAGGTGAATGATGTTCAAATTTTTACTCATTATTTTAGCATACTAGTTAACTTATAGAAAGCATTACCAAGTACACAAGTTAAGTTCAAAAAGTGAAGAGCTTGTTACAACCTGAGCAATGTTAAGCTCTTTGCAAGAAATATCCCAGAAAACATCACTCATCTAAAACTGTAAAATTGCTTGTTGGCAAAAATTTGGTTGAGCTACACATGCTCAGTGTATAAAATTTCGACTGTCAAAAGAAAATTTCTCTGAAACTATTCAGTATATATATGGGACTCAAACTTTTAATGATTACTAATATTGCTAAGTTCTTTCAACATTCAGCTGTTATTTTAATAGCTTGATTACAAAAAATGTTTCATGTTCAAGAACCTGTGTTTCCTCCTGGAGAGAGTCCCTTCTTCTGCACACGGGCCATAACATAAACAGTGACAGAAACCAGAACAGACCATATGAGGGTTGCTGTTATGATCCCAAGGAATGTGTCATACACCAAAGCAACATTGACTTTGAAGTAGAAACAGGCAGCAAATCCAATCACACTTAGCATTAAAGCAAGAAATCCTAAATGTCAGAAAAAAAGACAGAAATACCAATCAATTTATTATTCCTGAAATGCATGTGAATTCTGTTCAAAAATATCCATCGACCCACCATTCAGTCTGTAGTCAAGTTGAGTTCCATCAGATAACGCTCTCCCATATGCCACCTATAATAGTTCAAAAGACATACAGTCAGTCACGTAATTACTGTTGATAAGAAAAAATGTAAAACAATTATTGGATTCCACTTCCATATGACATGAACGGCTATGCACATCTTGAGGGATGTTATAACACTGCCTTGGATCTAACTACAGGAGAATCTCGATTTAATGAAGGCCCAAGGGACTGACAAAATTTTTTAGCTATAACAAGGTATCGTTATATTGAGGTTCTTTTTCATATATTTTACTATTATTAGGGTAAAGAAATTTGTTCATTATATTGAGGACTTTTGTTATATAAATCAAGGTTCCACTGTACACTGTATCATGAACAGTTAATGCATTCGTGTTTTTTGTGAAATCCAAAAATAAGTTTTATCAGCTGAGGTCGGAGGTCAAGCCTGATCTTATACATTATTTAGACGAAAATGACAACAAAAACACTGTCGCCTGCACACAGTTTAGTATTTTCCAAAAAGAATAGACATGGCTCTTAGAAATCATGCATTCCACATGCAACCTCCAGACTAGTTAGTTAGGTTGAGCTAATTTCCAAAATTAATATATTATTGTTGGCTCTTAGCCGGTGAGAAGATACAGTGAGTACAATGTATAATAATAATTCCCCATATTATACTCAGTCTAATGCATCAGTCAATTCCACCTGCACCCAGCCCCCCCCCCCTTCCCCCCGCCAGGCTACTGCGGGGCATTTGCCCATCTTGTCAGTCCTGGGGTTGGGGCATTTGCAAATTTTGCACTGCCCGGGAGGGGGCTGGGCTCAGGTGGAATTGACTGATGCATAATCCAGTAATTGCAAAACTTCATCTCCATCAAATAAAATTCATTACTGGCAAGGGAGCAACCTTATTACATAAGCATTCTTAAGTTTTTTATAACCAAGAAGTACAGGTATACGACTATGTCTTACCTTTCCAATTGGCAGCATGTAAATAATAACTTGCAGTACAATCCATCCATCAACAATCAGGTGACCGATATCAAAAAACTTCTCAATCGGGGGCAAGGACGGCCACTGGCGAACTGTACAAGACCCCTTTCCATTACAGAACAAATAGGACAAAACTACAACTGCTGGTAATGCTAGCATCATGAAGAAAACGCCAACAGGGCCACCGAATTCATACCCATGCTTGCTTTTCGTAGGCTTCATCTCTGTTGCTAAGAGCAACGCTTCTTTCTCTTCAGTGATGAGCTTTTTCGTTACAGATCGAGTGACACGAACTGTAGTGACGCCTGAATTACCAGAGGTTACTGTAGAGCTTGAGGTGACAACTGAAGTCTGTTCGATTTTCCTTTCGGGTGTTCGGCCTCGTCTCGGTGATCGCCGACTCGGTGTTACAGCCACAGATTGTTGTGTGACTTTCTGTACAAGACTTTCTTCCGATGTAGATTTCCTTGTTCGACGACGTCCACCGCTTCTTGCAGGTGATCTTGATCGAGAGCGAGATCGCCTTGCTGGTGAACGAGATCTCCGAGCTGGGTTTCGAGCTGGCGAAGTTGACCGGGAGCGAAATCGTTGTTCTTTCTACATAACACAATGGTAAGACGGTAAGACTTGTCTAAAAACATTGAGTATTTCGGTCACATCTAAGTTGCTAAATCGTATATTTCGACGTTAAATAGTGTCTGGGCTTATCAAAGGGAAAAAGTGGTAATTGTATTAAAGGTCAATCTTGAGCTTTTAGCACATTAGGTTCTTAAATATAAACAAAATCACATGAGATTAATCTAATGGTGTTCTTGCGAAATATGTTGCTAAATAAACAGCTGTCATTGGTCTTTCGACAACGATTGTTAAATTTTGGTTATTCGAAAAATAACTTAAAATAATTTTTATCTAACCAATGAAAAAATCCAGCCTTACATAGGTTTGTCGCAAAGGAACTTCTGTTTTGAAGCCATCTTTGAAGTTAACGTAGACGGCGCTCTTGCGCAGTTCAAGCACTTCTGCCTCGTAATATTTCTTGCTCCCGGGCCATAATGCCCAAACTGTCTCTCCAACGGAAAACTTAGCCTTTGACATGTCTTTCACGTAAAGAAATCCAAGCGATCGCTCTATTTTCTCGTACACAATTTTATGGTAAAGACAGCTCTCGTAACTTCACAAATTTTACGAAAGACAGACAACTTGTCAACGGTCATACTTAGTAAAAGCGGGAAGTGATCTGATTGGCTACGCGCCGGCAATTTTGTTTCTGATTGGTTGTTGAAGAATTTCAAAACCATTTCTCTTGACACCAATCTCCCTACTTCTTGGCTCTGCCACTCATTCAAAATTACCCTCGGGCGGAAAAAGCTGTGTTTAGTTTATTCTAAGGTCATGCATATCGCGTTACTTGGGTAAAATTTTCAACAATAGAAGAGAGGTCAGTAAGGTTTAGGCAGACCGCACGACTGGAGGGAGTGTTAGGGGATGGAAAGGGGAGGAGGCCGAATGACCGTTGTTATTTAGGCTTTCTTTCCGTCACGGTTGAAAGAAATCTGAAATTTTATTCAAAGGAATTCGAATAAATAATTCAATTTCGTTCCCAACGGGATTGGAGTTAATTTCCATTTCTCCCTGAAGTAGTAGATATATTAAATTTTCACATCTTCCGGTTTGAACGGCGAAAAAAAATCTTTTTAAAATAAAAAACAACACCATTTATTGCAGTATACCAGGTGGTACCGTTTTGTTGTGAAGAAGGTAGGAAAAGAAAGAAAGTAAGAAAGAAAGAATTTAAGAAAGGAAGAAAGTATTAAGGTAATTCCCTGGTTTTGCACTGCGATTGTTTAAGTTTGGAACATTTCGCACGCAACCAGGAAAAACACTCAGAATTACGGGCACACAGGGCGAAAACAAGCACGGCGATCTTTTTATTAAAGGATTTGAATGTACTATATATGGCTGACACTTGTGCCAAGTTTGAAAAAAATCTGAAGAGTACATCATTTTCAAGGGAATTAACTTAAGTCTATAAAACTAAGGATAATTGGACAAGATATATTGAAAAACTGGTTTCTCTGTGATTTCTATGTGCAATCGCCACAGTCACTGAACTTTTTCAAGCGCTTTTTTCAAGTTATTTCCGTTTATAACATGATCTTTGGTCACATTCGGATGTAAAGCTGGATATAACGTGTATAGAAGGGAAACAGATAAATCTTGTATTACCAGCATAATAAAACAGCACGCTGACAAAATAAGCAGATTATCAATTATTTATACAAGAGCTATAACACAATGCATGTCAATTAAGCTGTATACAGCATCTGCACAGACTACAGTTAAATTTTAAGGAATTTTCTGCACTGGCTTGGGATCGAAGACAGCAAGTAACGAAAAGCCGATATTTTACGTATGCAGCCTTACTGTTTAGTTTTGCTTTCTCCTTTTCTTTTTGTCTCCCGTTCCACGCCGATACTTGCTTACAAGTTTCATAACTTGAATTTTAGCTGTACTGACTTCGTAACCGATAAGCCGCTGTCCTGAAATCCCTGCAAGATGTTGCTTCAGTACAACTTCTTCACTATAAGTTTGAAATTCTCTCTCCTCGCTCTATAAATGCTCTTCAATTTCTTACACACGCGAGACAGGGGACTCTTGGACCTACCGTGTGAGTGTATGCGCGCGCCCCAAAGTGACTTGAACCGTGTGATTGCATTAACACTGTTGTGATTATAGCTATTATAAGAGGACTTTTGAAATTGTGTATCTTATTCCAAGTTTTTCATGGTTTGATACACAAAACATTTGACAGTTTGTTTCGGTTTGCGCAGCCTTCTTGTTGACGTGTTATAGCTTCAATTAGCCGTATAAATCAGAATGTCTACCCTGGATCAAACCAACGTCTTTGGGTCAACTTTCGTCGAAATTACTTCTTCGTTTTAGCAACTAAGGAAGTAAATATTTTGTTCATAAGGCAGCTATTATGACAAAATAACAAAGTCGACAAGCGCCCACGAAATATTTATATCACTTCCTCTGTGTTTTGTTTTCTTTATTTTATAAAAGGGACAAAGAGGAACTCTTAAAAA